TGCATGTATTGTATTTACGATAGCATTTACATATCAATCAATTGGATCCAAGTATATCAAAAATACAGCGCCTACAAAATTTTTATGAGAATAAAATGTACAATCTGGTAAAAAAATACTTTATTGAGAGATAAGAATTTCATTGTACATCTGTACATATATAAATCTTAATGTCTCATAGGAGGACTCTCTCAGTCAATTATTCAAATCTACAGTAACCTTTAGAATGTATTTTTTTGTAATATTTATTCCTGTAATAATATCATTGTTTAATAGATAATATTCCTAACATAAAGAAACAAAATGTCATTGGAATGATTAGTTAATTCTATCGATTATTTCGGTTATTTTAAATTGAATCGTTTTCATTTTGTCAGCGCCCTCTACTTCCGATTGCACATTTAAGTTCAAGTGCTTCAGTTTACGTTTTCGCTCATATTACGTTTTCAATTTTCAATTTTTGATCTCATTTACTGAATGTTGCATAGTTCCTCTTATTCCTTTAAATCGTTCATTTAATTTTAAAGTATATTTTTGAGCACATGTTTTATTGTAGACACATTGTAAAAAGTAAAAGAGAGTGAAAATGAATTTTCAATATGTGGTGAACGGTATTTGTATACCTCGTCTGTGGTGGTGAAACATGCGATTATGAAAACATGCGCGCAATTGCATTAAAATAGAAGTTGATACTGGAAATTAACGTGAAGGTATTTTTTCTAATTTATTGATAGATAATAAAAGATCATTGAGTATTGTGTAAGTATTATAAATGTTAATACATTTAAATAAATTGATTTGGTAGAGTATTATAAAGTAATGCTTCTCCATATTTAACTGATTTTTCTTTTTGAAATAATTTCCACTGTAATAAATAAAGTTTTCACTGTTCGAAAGCAACATTCCAATTGACTGTTTAGCAATAAAAACAATGTGAATGATAATATTATTATTTATGACGATTGAGCTGAAACAACTGAATATTTTATGTTTTTTGTAATAAATTGCAGAGGGCGCAAGAAATATTCTGATTCTTTTCATGGTCGGTAATGCAGAACATGAGATATTAAGCTTCATATATCTATCACTATACTATATCATTCTATATCTATTCTACTATTTAATCAGTGATTATAGAAATACGAACAAAAATTTTAAAAATAGGAATAGATTAGATAATTTTTTAGTCTTTAGTTATTATGTAATTTTTTAAAACTTTCCAGAAATAATTGTAGAAATACAAACAAAATTTTAAGAATCATATTCCAATCTGCATTATTATACATTCATGATTCCCGCGATAAATACGACATGCATACATACATGTATAATTGTAAACGATTACGCCTGATCATGCTTTTACTTTATAGTTTTTGTAGTTAGTATTTGATTTTTCGCGGTCAATTTTTTCTTATAATCAAGATTTTTTAAAATAATAATATTAATGATATTTTTTTAAATAATAATATTAATTTGCAATTTATAATATTACAAAAACTGTTTACGGAACAGAGGTCTGTAATATATCGAAATTTTCAACTCAATGTTGATTTTCTAACATTATTAGTTGTGAAAATATCACCACTAACTTTTTGTAACTACATGATGTATTTACGAAGGTTCTCTATAATAAATGTTTAAATAAATAAATCTTTACGAGTCTACGATGACATGTTAAGCACAAATAAATTACCAAAAAATGATAAAACATAATTATTAATTTCGATAGTGTCGTTCAAAACCGTGCCGTTTAATAACATTGCAATAATAATGCAATGACTGTAAGATTGCTGATAGATCAAGTAGTTTCACCGTATTAAATTAACCAATTGCGGGTCAAATTGATCGAAACGAGATAATGTCTCGAAGAATGTAGCGCGACGTGAAAGTTTCTTTCATGAATCAAGAAAAGAAAAAAAAAGATATACGAGTTAGTCTTTGATATTAAAATCTGCGAGTCGCCTAGTCCTCTTGTTTTCTCCAGAAAATATCATTCGCAGACATTTTATCGAATGATTGAACGAATTTCATTCTCTCACTGTAAAAAAGAATTTCGACGAAGAGAGAAACGATCATGTTATGATTTATTAGCAACAAGATCGATTTAAGATCCTTTTCATTGCTTCTTTACTCCAGAATACTTTCTGATCGGTGTTTTATATACTTACACGCATGTTATACGTACATATCTACCTTTCTACATAAATATTCAGATATTTATCAAAAGTGAAATAATTAGTAATTTTCCAGGATTATCGTTTCGGACCTTGAATATGATATATTCTGTATTATAACAATATAAAGATTTCATTAAATCATTTTTCTTTTCTATAAGTCTTTTGTAGAACATTCGTTACAGGACACTGGAATAGACTATCATAGAAATAACAGGTGGAGGACCGTTAGTGCAACTGGCTTCGAACTTCCGTGGATAATACGTGGAATTGATCGTGTTCTTAATACTTTAGTAACGTGCAACATGCGAAAAAAAGAAACCAATGCTATTTTTTAGCAGGTAAGTATTACCCAAAATTGGCAAATAACATCTATTTTTCTCGTTTTTGACACCGGTATGAACTTTCATCAGAAACGAATTTACAAATAAATGAAAATTTCTAAATAGATATAATTGGAGATTATAAGTGCCAAGGGAAACGTTAAAAAAGTTTTCATGGTAGTTTGTGTCTTTATTGTTAGTTAAACTCTCTTATTATTAATGCAAGGGAGGATGACGCATGTACGAGTAAAAAGTGAAACTTAGGGAGAAGGTGACAAAATCATTTTTCTGACTACATTGGATCGGATATAGCTGTGACACAGACTTCAATATTTTTGCCACGAACGATTTCACGTGAGTCACACGCTTAGCAAATTTGCGTAGCTTTCTCCGGCAAACAAGCGAAATAAACGACGGCACAGACCTTCATTGGTTGATCTAGTTCGGCCTCATTTTCTCGAGCTTATCGTTCTTTAGACAAGATGCAATTTTCACGCTCCGATAGAAATCTCGTGTGTCTGATCTATCACTTGAAGAGAGCGAAAACTATGCGTATGTAAATTGGCATCGGGTAAATCCCGTGATAAAGATCGTTGCCTCGATCTTTCATGGGCGGAAGTTCTGTCACTTGATTAACACTAAACGCACCGGCATTTTACATATACCTATGTTACCATAAGGGGTCAAATGACCCCTCGCGGTACATAAGGTATGCAAAGAATTTTTCTCGGTTAAAAAAAATAAGCTAAGAGAAAACAGAAAACGAGAAATTGAATAATTAGATAATATAAGAATTTGCAAAAAGTCAGATTAGCGAAAGAAATAACAACGAATGTACGATTTTAAAGTAAACTTTGAAAAGCGGATCATTTGGCCCCGCTTAGTACGTTTAGTTGTCTAACGTCAATTTAACATTTATTTAATTTATCGATTTTTATTTTGATGGAAGTGATTCTTCAATCATGATCAATCCAGCGATCGTGATTTCCCGGATCATCATAAATCCATAACGTAATTGTTATATCCAATAACTGTTATAACTCAAATTAAGAAAGTTATAATAATTTTATTTTAGATAACTTCGATCAAGAATACTTTGGCTGTCAATAACAATTATTGATGACAAAATTTTTTTAAAAAATTTCTCTCCAAAATTTACGAATATAATACTCTTGATACACAGGTAAAAATTATGACGAAGAAGAAATAAAGAATACACTTTATTTACTAAACAGATTTCTTGCAAAAATTTATAAGATTCGAAACTAAGGAGATGATAGAGCGTTGTGTGCAAAAAAAGAAAAAAATTATTTTATTTAAATTGTAAAATCTTTTCAACCTAGCTGGATATAAAACCACTGAAAGCATGCTAGAATGGGCTAGAAAGTTCGAGGGATCGACAGATTCATCGAGAGAAAGTAAAAAGCCTCAGAGAGGTTGATGAATAGAGTTCAATGAATTGTCATCTAAGTATTCGACAGCGCAGAAAGAGACAGAAACGTTTTCAAGAACGATGTAAGAATAAAAACGGCGCATTACGACAAAGGGAATAATCAAGAGTTCAGAACAAAAAGAGCATACTATCGCAATTTCCGCAGAGAAACAGGAAAAACAGATTCAGTTCGACGGAAGAATGTAACATTAATGAAACTAATAAACGGAAAGGAAACGGGATGTCGATAAGGAAAATAGAAGAAAATAACGGGGAAGGAATTACGGGTATATAAACGGGACTTTGCAGTTGCTACTATTAACCACGGATACGAAGAAAGTTAAGAAATAATAGAAACTATGTGACAGTACGTGTAGAAATTGTATATTATGTAATTTAAAAAGAAGAAAGTGATATATATTGTGATTAGAGGAAGAAACAGAGAAAAAGTAAAATGTAATATCATGGTAAAAAAATTAATGGCAGCAATTACTTAGAAAATTTAGACAAGAAAAAAGTTATAAGACGCTAGCTAGGCTGGGAAAAGTTAGGAAATAGATTTACTTGAAATCAATTTCACTGTTTCATTAATTACTTTGAATAATAAATCTTATGACATAATTAGAGGAATAAGATCTTTCTAAATTCGAGAGAATAATTAATTTTTACTACAATGTTTGGTCATTTAGATCAATGTTTTAAAAATATTTGTAACGCAACATGTTTATGAAAGAATATGTTGTGCAATTATGTCGACAAAGCTGTATTTATAAAAATTACGTGAAGAAAACGAAAGTTCGCATAATACGGAAGCATTGATGATTGATTTAGCCGTGGTTTCGTTAATTTAGCAAAATAATAAATATAAA